TTTCTGTTGCTACAGTCTCGTGCCACACCATGTCGGATCCACAGTCCCTATTTTAGATTGAGAGCTGCAGCTTGTTCTGGTATGTGATGAATCACCGCTATGTCTGCTGTAAAGGCCACTAACTTACTAAGTTTTTATGTGAGGCAAATTACTTCAAGTTTACCTGATGTTAGGAGAAATTTTATGGTGGCTGGAAAACTCAACACATTTCATTCATAAGAGAGTGGTGATCCTGAAAATTATAGCTTCACACACACGTTTTGTTCACCTCCATAAAGATGAACAAAAGGGTTGACGGTTCTCTCCTGCCATAGCAGGAGCAACCTATTTGAAAAATGTAACAGAAAGTCATAGAATATCTGGAGTTGGAAGGGACCCTTGAGGATCATCAAGTTCACCATGAGTGCAGGTGATATGGAAGACTTGCTAGCCAGTGAGTATCAGCCAAAGCTTTTGAAGCATGTAGCAGCACTAAGGGAGGTGTGTGTGGGCTCTGGTGGCTGGTTCAGCTGGGTTGTGGTAGCCACTTTGACTAGTTGTTACTCAGCAGGTAACCAGAGTAGGCACTGATTATGTTGTTCATAATTTATGTTGAACTGCTTGTAATAAGTGATTTTAATTCCTTATTATGAATGACAGGAGTCTTTGCACATTTCCAACTAAAACTCAGAATTCCTTGTTACTCATCAGGAAAGCATCTGTTTGAGTCCAGAAATAATTTCTCTGATAGATTCTACTGAGGATGCTACACTTGCTAAAAATTATAAATCACATGAACAAATACCGAGACCAGGATTTACCAGGTCTTTAGGTACTAAAAAGACCTCTTTTTGCTGGAGCCAAATTACTATTTAGAATTCAGATCAAACAGGGAAACAGAGTAATTACATTCTGCATTAAAATACTACATTTTAAGTGGTGCTAAGTACTAAAAAAGAATTTTTGATCTCTTCCTCCCCTGTATTCTGACTTTATTGCAGGTCCCTGCAATCCAGAATGCAGTAAAGTAGGGTGTGATGGGCCAGGACCAGATCATTGTACTGACTGTCTGCACTACTACTACAAATCTAAGAACAACACACGGTAAGATCAAGAGAAAAAAATCTTTACTTCACAGATTTCTTAATTTATATCCTAACTCCCTTTCATCTTCTTTTTTCTACAGTCATGGATAATTCACTTTCCACTGAATCTGACAGATTTTTTTTAGGGGTTAAGAAAAATCTAGCAATTCAGAATTTCAAGGGCAGCCCTCAAACACCCTTCCCTTATTATTTCCCATCTCTTGCTTGTTTGTTGTTGTTTTTTTTTTTTTTAATGACTATATGTGTGTATATATATAACTGTGATAGCTACTATAGCTTCTGTAGTTGAGTTTGAACAAAACAGGAAGAAGTATAGATGGTCAGAGATGGTACTATATGACTGGCAAGGCATTTGCCAGTGAGACAGCATATGCTGGATGGAAATAAATGGAAGAGGCAGCTTGATGCAATGCTTTGGAGGGTTACATCTTAGTAAACATGATCATTAGAAAAGTAGCAACACTGAGAAATACTTCTGCTTTGCAGTCATGGTCCAGGGATGTGGTGGCAGGTTATTTCATTAACAACTCTGCCTTCTCTTCCCTGCTGTCTGCAGGATCTGTGTTTCGACCTGCCCACCTGGTCACTACAATGCAGACAAGAAACGCTGTAAAAAATGCTCACCCAATTGTGAAACCTGTGTTGGAGGCCATAGTGACCAGTGCATGACCTGTAAATCTGGCTACTACCTGAATGAAGTAACCAATAGCTGTATTACCAACTGCCCTGATGGGTTTTACCTGGATAAGAGTTAGTATTTCTTGTTGTTTCTTTATTGTGGGCTACAGAATTTGATCTGGGGAGGTTGCTGGAATGCTTATGATCAGGAAAAATGTATGTTGATGCATCTATCTCTTATCCTGTTTCTCTTATTAAATCGTTGCCAAGTGTGATCAAGAATCTCAAAATTCTTCCATTATTTTAAAAACTGTGCTTAGTGGCAGGATGTCTGTTCTGCTTGAGGCTGGGAGAACAAGGGCAGTTCAAGAGCAAGGCAGCCGCAGGGCAGATCAGGTTATGACTACACCAGAAAGGGACAGGCAGCAACCACATTCTGAGCATGAGGCATTCCACCAAATTCAAATTATAGGAGAGCTTCTCAAGTATAAAACACGTTTGCAGTTAATGTTTCGGACAGACTGAAGTACCTGCAGTGATGTGATGACCCAAAAGCAGTAATTCTCTGTCATGTGAGACACCTGCCTTCCATTTCCTCCTGTGATTGCCAAGTAGACTGCCCATGTTTGATTTCCAGCTTTGGCTAGAAAAAGTGCTTAGACACATATTCAAACATGTACTTAGAACTGCAGTGACTTCAGTTATCCTTAGACACATCCTTAGAAGATAAGTACCTGCAGAGGAACTTTGTTCATCTTGGTAGCTAAACTTTCACTTTTTGAATTGGTGTGTTCATTTTTGAGAATTAGTAAAAACAGATACTACTCTAATTCTTCCAGAATGTTATGTAATTTCTGTGTTGACTGTGTTAAGATCAGACCTGTTCATGCAGGTATGTCCATAAGCACCAAATCAGGAAGACAGAATTTCCATGGAAAGTGTAAGATGTAAATTGCTGTGCAGTCTCTGGAACACATGGCAGTCATTACTGCGTATCACTGCTGTATGAAAAGATTATTTGAGGCCATATTATAAGTAGTTAATGTAAATTTAAAATGTTTGTGAAGATTTTTGATTACCTCAAAGCATATTTCTCTCAGGGTACAACTTATAACATCAAGTGTTTAGAAACAGATTAAACCAGTTGATGGAAAAAGCTAATGATAAGCAGATTTTAGCTAGTTTGGTCTAGTTTGCTGCTTCCCTTCCATATGTCAAGCCAAATAGCAGTAAGTCATGTAATATTACATTCATATAGTTTTGTTAAACATAACTGACCAAGGTTTTCTGGGCTGTTTTGTTTTTTTTTTCTAATTTATTTTGTAGATATGATTGTTTGCCGAAAATGTAGTGAAAACTGTAAGACATGTATTGAATTCCAAATCTGCACAGAATGCAAACATGGCCTAAGGTAAGGAAATGATGGATGTTGCTAAACACAATACCTGAAGAGGCTTACAAAGCTGTGGAGACACAGGGAAGAAAATCAGATAGCTATTTAACCTTGAGTGGCCCTTCTTTCCTGTGTTCTATCGCTGTTTAGTTTGTAATGTGGTATTTTCTTGTGCTGCTATGTGCCAGTTTGGCTAACAACAGATTTTTAGAAGACCTTTCATTTCAGGCACCATAAAAGCCACAGTCGTGTAGGAAAAGCTGGCTTCTTCACTTTTTTGATCTACAGTTGCGGTCAGGGATTATTTTAGAGGTGGAGCTGATGAATCATGTTAATCTTTCTGATTCAGTCCTGTGATAGTTAGAAACTATTTTCTTATCTTTATTGTATTTCTTCATGCATCCAAGTCATTCACTTATCTCAAGTACCTCAGGCTCAATTCTATTACAATATACTGTGCACATATTTTTAATAGCAGTGGATATTTTTTCTTAAGATGGGGGACTTAATCATTCCTGAAACTGACAGGTAAAGCCTACAAAGCAGCAGTACACATTTCAGGCTCCTTTGTGAATGAGTGACCTTTTGATCCAAGCAGCAAAAGACAAAAATCCTATAAAATTCATGATGGAAATTATGCTGGCTTTACGCCACAAAAAATAGGAAGTCAGTATTCAGTACCTGTAGGGATTCTTCTTGCAGAGTGCAAGTGTTCTGTGAATGTTTTAACACTGAGCTTTTACCTTCCAGCAAAGAGGAGTTTCATCTATTAACAAAATCTGAATGTCGTTGATTTCTAGGACATCAATAGCTGTATTCCTTTACTTTTTGTAAAGGAATTATCATTTTTTGTGTATTTATGTAGTGTCTAGAATTACTAAATGCATGCATGATTTTTATTGTGAGTATGTCTATTTTTCAAAAAGTGACCCTTTGAAAAGGAAGTGTAATCTAACAGGAGTGAAAGCATGGGGTTGAATAAGAACACTGGTCTGTTTACACACCCTGTGAAATCTGAGTATCAGTTTCCATTTTAAAATGTTATTTAATTTGCAGTCCATTGAAAGATTTTGGAGAATTACAATAGATTTAACACAACCTTCTGTGCATCTGCAAAATCAAATCAGTAAATTAGCAGTTTAGAAGTTCCTGCAATGGACAAATATGTCAGGAGACTAAAGATTACACACGTTTAGGACTCTATAGGACACAGCTACTATAGAAAAGTTATATACACATTTTACTTCTCAGGAACTGCATTTCCCTGTCCATTAACACAAAGAGCAGCTTGTAGCACTACTACGTCCATTTTATGTGGGAAGAGAAGGAGAAACTGAAATATAAAAAAATCAAAAGAACCCAAACTTCTTGTTTTCTTCGACAATATTAGCAAACCGAGATTGATTTTTCATAACATTTTGAAAAAACAACATCTGTGACTGTGGCAGAGAAATGGAGCCTTGCAGGACACACATTTCATATCTATAAGTTGTTCGAAACTTTCTGCATTTTCTTGGCAGACTTATGGGCAGGGCCCTGGGTGGGACTCGGGAGACCTGGAGTCCAGCTCTGATCCAGTCACTGGCCCATTAAATAAACTTGGGCAAATCATTAGACTTCCTGTCTGTGAAAGTTTGATAATGCTACTTGCCTTGTAAAGCACATTGAGGTACATGAGTGAGGAAAAATAATAAGTAAGCAGGGGTTGTTAGGTTTGCTGAATTGCTAATTTAATTTTTTGCTAAACTGGGATCATATACACTCTTGAAAACTTCCAGTGGTGCCGTGCACACGTGTCTTTTTGCTGGATCCAGTCTATAATTAGCACTGTATCAGGCTGTTATGTCCCCAAAGCTGGAGAGCATTTTTAGAGAGACAGTTAAATTGGATGAAAGCTGAGGTTCTACAGAAGATGGCAAACATGACAGAGAAATCCTAGCTTAAAAACAAAAACAAAAACAACCTACAACTCTGTTGTAGGCACCTTTCAGCATGAAAGCATAAACAGTTACTTAAGGAGAAGCACTGATATGTGACTCTTTATGCTGTTTATTTTCCCTCTGTTATTCGCTCTTTTGTGCTCCCTTTCAAAAGTGCCTGCAGGCAGAACACCTCTGACTGTAATCTTGACAAACCTCCCAAGCCACTGAGAACTGGCATTTTGTCAGGAAGTTTCAAAGGAAACTTCTCTTGCAGAAAGTGGTGGTGATTTCCTCCACTGTGAATCTATTCTTAACCTGTGCTGTAGCATAGTGTCAGGAGATGCTGCTGTCTTTCAAGAGAAGCATAAGATCTTGTTAACAAGTCACTTAGCATTTTTCTTTACTACAGTGATGCTGACCCTGTGCCACATTCCTCGTGGGTAATTGCATTTTACATGCCTGAATTTTTAGTACTCTTTGGCATTGTTCTTTTTTTTTCTGTCGCCTACCACTTGATAGTGTTTACAATGAGTTTGCAAACAGCTTCTGTATTTCACCAAGGGTAAAACTGCATTTCATTCCTCCTTGAAATTATTTCTGTTGCTAAATTCATAAAATAGGACCAGTGAAGGAAGCTGGTGAATCCTAATATATGGGGTTTTTTTTTGTTAAAAGGGAACTACTTTTTTTATGCATGACTTTGTTGTCCTCTGTTGCTGTTATCTGCCCAAACACTGTGTTTTTTTCCTTTTTGCAATAGTTTGCATGGCACTAAATGTGCTATCCGCTGTGAAGAAGGGAAATACCATAATGGTAGAGAATGTGAACCATGTCATCGTTCTTGTGCAACATGTGCAGGTACACCACTGACACTTATCTGCATTGTTTCCTTTCCTCTGTATTTTTAGCTCTGGTATTACTCTGCTGTATCACAGTATAACATGATTGTTTACATGTAAAAACTTCATTCTCTTGATAGTTCTTGAATATATTTTAAATACGGCAAATGTATTTCAGCTAACATGAAAACCTAAGTTTTCTAATTGAAAGTGTGCATACGTTCTTTTCTGGTTTTTTTTAATGCCTTCCATTTTCCTTCTGGGATGGAAATAATGACTGACAGATTTTGTGCAAGCTTTAGAACTACCAACAGCCATTTCTTTCAGAAAAAGATATGCTGAAATTGTGTCATGTTTATTCTAACCATGTAACTTAATTGCTTGATATTACTTTATAAATGAAAATAAGGCAGGTAAAACATAGTCTTTAGAACTGTAATATTGTGCTACAGTTAGAGGTGATATCTATTAGGCAATAAGAACTAGCCAGTAATACAGTATATTTTCCCTCTGGTTTAAGGTGCTGGAGTGGACGGCTGTATAAACTGTACACAGGGTTATTTTATGGAAGATGGAAGATGTGTGCAGTCCTGCAGTAGTGGTTATTACCTTGATCAGTCTACTGAAAGTGGATACAAAAGCTGCAAAAGGTATATGAACAGTGGCTAATATATGTGTCTGATGTTTGACAGTATATTAGCTATTATTGTGTTGAAAAAGATAATGCTTACAAGAACATAAAACGCTGCTGACTTCAAAAAGCAGAAAAAAAAATATTGCATGCTAAGCAAATGAAGGAAAAGATTTTTTATTAAAAAAAATTTAATCTGAGTTATATTCATGCAGGTCTTCTAAAAGTGTTTTTTTCTTGCACATGTATGTGTGTCCTTCACTTTAAAAAAGCCTGTATTGAGAATCCAAGTAGCTATGCATAGAAATGTAAAATTTAAAAATCTGGCAGAAGATCTGCATTTCTCAGTAACAAACAAAAATAGTCGAACTATTTTTTTTTAATTCCAAGTTAATTGCTGTTCATAAGGACTAATTCAGTTCTTCAGCTGCATGTTCACAAATATGGCACAAAATATAATAACCAGGCTGCTGTCCAGAAGAGTTCATCTGAGTCAGTGTACAAATGGCTGCTGGATAAACCTTTAACAAGGCTGTGCTGTGCAAGGAAGGGACATTTTTTTCTCTTCTTTTTTAAACAACTAACATTTGCTGTCCTTTAAAATCACGTATTATTGACTCACTTCGAGTTCAGGGCAGGAAGGGAATCACCATGTGTTACAGTTTTCCCCACCAAAAACAAAACAAACAACCAAACCGAACCAAAAAAGTCACCAAAAAATACACAGTGACAATAGTGATGTAGCTAGAAGGGTGATGAAAGGACTGGGCAGCAGGTTAATGTTTTCCATACTGTGGCTTTATCTCCTGCCTTCCTGGCACATGTATGCACAATCTGCTTAATACTTCTGCTCATTATTTCTGCAGAGTTCAAAAATACTGGAACAATGCAGCTACTTAGTAAGAAAAATGTGACTAGAAATTGATTGGAGGAGAGAAACAGAACTGAATTGCACGGGGAGTTGTTTTTTATTATTACTGTTGTTGTTGTCATTCTTATTGCTATTATAGCAGCTGATACATCTGGAAACAGCAAACAAGCCCTCTGGAATACAGAAGGGGTCTCCTAGGAACTCTTGTATTTGCTGGGACCGTAAGATCAATTCCTGCCATTGTCTTTCAGATGTGATGCCAGCTGTTTGGATTGCAGTGGTCAAGGAGACAGAAACTGTACAAGCTGTCCAAGTGGGTATAACCTAGACACTGGTGTCTGTGTAGTGGGAACAGTCTGCAAGGATGGTGAGTGCAATTCCCTGAAAAAATCCATGTTACCACTTCCAGCTTCTTCTTTTACATGTATTGCATTGGTTTGGTCTGTTTCTTCTCTTACAGTCTTCATTTGAGGTCCACATTACTTCTTAATTTTTTCAGGTTTATGAAAAGAAGAAAACCATGTTCATACCCACTTTGCTTGATTTTTCCTGAAATAGTTTTTGTCAACAGCCTAATTTTCCTTCCTTAGCTGTTTTTCAAAAGCCATTGCTTTCAAAACATTTTTATATGAAGATCCTAGTGTACTAACAATAGAATCACTTTTATCTATTTTACTGCTTTAAACTGTGAAAATACTGGTAAGTAAAAAGGATTTTAAGTGCCTTTAGTGTTGCTTGAATTATGTGAAAGGTAATGAGAACAAAAAAATTCTGAAATAGGGAGCACCCAATTTGTTGTGGCGATTTGAACTTCCTCCAAGTTGTCTGTGGCAACCAGGACAGCATTCTGTCTGCATACGATCGGCCTAGTCAGTCAGTAATATTGCTTCCTTTCAAATGTCACAAGTACAGATAAGATCATGCTTCCATAAAAATTTTACTGTGTGAGTTACTTCTAGATAAGCCAAACAAGTGCAGTCCAACAGGAAAATCATGCCAGAACAAAGGCCAGTGTTAAGCCATGTGAAAGATACCTGACATCAGATGTACAAAAAGCTAACAATGACTCTTGCGTCCAGCTCATTTCCACTGGATTTAGTAAGCATTTCAGACCAGATGTAAAAAAAAAATAAAAATTAAAGATACAAGGTCGTTCATGTGGACCTTTAGAGCTCTTGTTGGAATTTAGGCCTTCAAACTTTGAAAAGTATCCTGTCCATCGTAAAGTAAATTTCAAGTACTGGTAACTTCGTCACAAAACCTTTCACATCAGGACATTAAAAATCTCATTGTAATCTAGAGCAAGTCCAGAGCAAGCCAGATAGAGACGGACAAATGAAGCAGAAGAGTGATACTAGGGATTTTGAGTAACCACAGTCTCAGTATGGTATTGCAGTTGAATTCTGCAATGCAAACATTTGACATACCAGTTGGGTCTTCAATATAGTTGCATATATCTGTCTTTCTTTGTACACACGCAACTCCAAGCAGACACACATGTACTTGCCCAGGACTGGGAACACCCCACCTCAGTACTGTCTCCCCATTCTTCCAAGTGCAGCTGCCATGAAAGAGCAACACATCAGTGTCTGAGCTTTGGGCAGTTGCAACGCACCATACTGGATCCTACCACACACCACATGTTCTCAGCCGTCTAGGGCAGACAAGGACAGTCCAGAAGGTTTGGAGTTTTTTTCTGTTAATTTGCAATGCATAGGGGGTTTAATTTCATTGACTGAAAATCAAGCACTGGCTACTAGTCTAACTCAGTCTGTAGGATTTACATTTCTGTTTTACACAGAGAGAACGTTTTATTCTTTTTCTGTGGTTTGACTGTTATTCTTTTGATTCATAAAAATTGAGAACAAACTCCTTTACTGTAAATATCACTGTTTTCTAATTATTCTCTTTCTAATCTTTTTTTTCCTTTTCACAAATGGATACCAATCATTCCCTGTCGGACCACACAATATCTCTTCCTGAAAAAAAAAAAATGCTGTTGACTGAAATTCCTTTTGATGGACCAAATTTCCTACTTGCTACCTGCTCCTGAATGGTCTCTTCAACCAAATCTGCCTGTCTGACCAATTAAACCTTCCTCCATTGTACACGCCATACTCTCCAAACCTTCAACCTCCCCTCCTCCTTTTGCTGCTGCCCTCTGGAAGCCACGGAAGAGTCCTGGGCCGAGGGAGGATTCTGTATGCTGGTGAAAAAGAACAATCTCTGCCAGCGGAAAGTGCTTCAGCAACTGTGTTGCAGAACATGTACACACAAGGGGTGAACTGACTCCTCCCAGCATCCTCCTCTTCCTATAGACTTATAGATTAATCCGTATTATTGAAAAAGGAAAAAAGGAGAAAAAAAAAAAAAGAGGAAAAAAACAAACAAAAAAAAAAAAAAAAGAAAACCACCTCTTTCTCTCTCTCCCCCCCGCTCTTTGTCTGGGGAGAAGGTGAACTGTTTGTTGGAACTTAAATGGAAAAACTACAACACGCCTACCTTTCGTAACTGGGTGTCTAGAGCTGAGCATCCAGGATCACAGAGTCAGTATTGTGTGACCAAAGCATTTGATGCCAAAATTAACATTTAACTCATGATTTGATTTCCTGTCAACCTTAGGATTATTCCTGTTTTTTGAAGGTCCTTTTTCTTCCCTTTTTTTCCTGCTTCTCTCCCCTTCAAGGTGTTTAAAGAGTGTTTCAAGAGTACAAAACACGTTTACATGGATTAAAACTAAAAAATACAAAAAAATTTGCATTAATCTTTTTTGTGCTATGTGTATTGACAGGGGGAACTTGAGCTCCTGAGGGGATCAGAAACATCATTAGCTGCAGGACTAAGTTCTGCCCCTTTTGTAACAGTATTTAAAAAGAGAAAAGTGAACATTTCTGCACACATTTCTTTGTTTCCTCTGCTGTGTGCTGGTTTTTGTATCACATGCAGTATGTATATATGTTTGCCCAAAATGTGGTTTTGGTCATATAGATTTCATTTTTAGACAGCTAGCTTATTAACAGATATGCTAGGATTTTTATTTTATTTTTTTAAATTGTAAAGCTATTTCAAATAAACTTTAAAAACTTCTCTTGGTTTGCATAAGCGAGAGTAATGTATACGCTTCAAAGTCAGAAGACCTTGCTAACATGTAACAAGTATTCATAAATTATTGTTGTCTTGTAACTTTCACAAAAAAGGGGATATTATCACACAGATATGTGGAGCTATTTCATAGTGTCGATATGTAAATGCCAGTGTGACTATATGCAAAAGGATGTGTTTACAGGACTGGATTTATAATTGTGCCAAATGCATCTCCAAGAATAACTACATATAGAGCAATAAATCAATGCTTTTCTTGGTGTAACAATCGTGTCATGATGGGCCTGAATCTGCTTTTAACGTCCCACAAAAAAAAAAAAA